TAATACCGGGCATGTGCAAAGCGCTGGCGGAGGAGAACAGGGGCGAGATACAGTGTCCAAAGGGACCAAGCATCTGCCGTCGCTGCAGAACGATCCTTCGCAATGTTTCCCATGCGAGGGCCGAAGATAGTTGGAATCGTGTCTCCTGATCGTGCGGTGGCCTCACCAATGGCGTCCCAGACAGTACCCGAGAGTCCGTACGTGTGTTGACCTTGGTTGAGCTTTTTGAACCCACCCGTCCAAAGTGAAATGAGGTTTGGAATGAGGTTTTCCCAGATGAGATGCATGAAGTCATAGGGGAAAGACAGAGGGAAGGAAAGAGACGGTAAGTATGTGAGAAGAGAGCGCCCTTTGACGCCGTACTGCCGCGCGAGCCGCCCTGCTTCAGCGTTGCTTGCGGCCATCATCACTTCAGAGCCTTGAGCTACAATGTCTTCATGCGTACGAAGAGGCAATTTGTCCGGGTTGTAAGTCGATATGGCTTCGGGATCCTCGCGAACAAGTGGGTGACGTGACCGATCCAACGGGACATAGTGAGTTGTTGCACGCGCGCCGGGCACACGGAGCCCCTTGATGGTGCACATTCGACAGGGGACGAGACCGTTGTGCCCCTTCATTTGCATGACCATCGCAACAGCAGGCATGTCCCCAGACACCAGGATCAGAAATGCACGCTGGACGAAGGGGGTCGAGGTGAGCGGATCATGGGCTGGGACCCCGATGGCAAGCTGCAACATTTCCTTTACGAAAGGCCACAAAAACGAATCAAAGTCCTTGGGCTTCTTGGGACCGGGAACTACACCAAGAGGGATGATAAACTCATGGTGGAAGCGAATTTCGGGGGGGAGATTATAGTTATAGGCAATGATGGGCCAGGCAGTTTTCTTGCGACGTCGCCAGGGTGCAAAGCCATCAGTTGAGAGACCAAGAGCAATATCACGGCCGTCCGAGAAGAAGGTGCGTCCAAGATCTTGACCATCCACGACAATACGCTTCTTACAGAGATCCCGGTAGTGTGTTCCGTCAAAAACATCCGAGACCCCCCCCTGAGCATCCGGAACATAGTCCCCTCGGTATTGCATTTTCTCTGCCGTTTCTTGATGCTGACGGTGTGCGAGCAGGCGTGGCTTGAGCGGCAGATAGGAAAATTGCCTACGAGGCTTTCCGTAGTCATCGTAGCGTGATGTCTTGCAGTAGGGACACTGTTGTAAGTCGGAGAGAGGGCCCGTGTACGCCATACATGAGTCGACGCAGCAGTCATACCGTTTAACGTCAATACCGGACAGAAATGCAACCCGGGCGCGGAGTTTTTTCAATGTAGGTAGCTGCTCAGTCGGGAAGGCAGCAGGAATTTGTTGAAAGGTGGTTTCGTTCAGGTTGTTTTGGACTGCGAAGGCAAACGCGCGCAAGATAGCTCTATCGGGTTCACTGAGACGGTTCTCTATGAGCCGAACACTATGTTAATTTTGAACTAATGGCAAGCACGGATCTCCGACGTAACCGGCTCGACTCACCTAGCTGAGCTGCTTCCTGCATAAATTTAGCATATAAACGATCGTGCGCTGACAGCTCCGGGTTGTAGATGTCTTCGTCCTCATCCCACTCTTCATCTTCTTCACCAGCGAGGTATTCGGAATCATTATGCTCATCATCTTGCGCTTCTTCATCTGCATCTCCAGAGTCTGAGTCGCTGTCATCGTCCTCAACAATGACAGGATTCCGAGCCTTCGAACGCAAGCGATCGCAGAGACGTTCAATGAGGTTGACTCCTGGAACTCCAGGTGTTGAAGGGTTACTGTGTGATTCTTGAATGAGTTCTTTGAATTAGCACAAGCTTATTAATGTCTAATGTGCTCAGGCGACGCACCTGCATGCTGCGAGTTTGAGATGTCAAGCTCGAAGCAGCTGCTCGTGTCCATCCTAAAATTACCGTCACGGTCTGGTGCTTCCTCATCCCGCGCGAGCTCCAAGTCACCTCTAGAAGACCCGCCTGCATCCGATAGCTCACCATCTACAGCAACGAATGCGCTGGCCTCAGAGTCCACCTGATCCAACTCCTCTTCGGAGATCGTTGTGTTCTGTATTTTGAATTTTGAACCTCGCGCCTCATATTGGCGTTGTAGCAAAGCATTGCGAAGGGCTTGAGAAGCACGGACGTGTGGAGGGGCCTTCTCCTTACGATGCCGGAGTAGTGTACTTTGCGAAACGAGCTTGTTGCAACACGGACAGCAAGTCTTCTCCATTGTGCTTGCTTTCTTTGTGGGCCGTCGAAACATCGCAGCAACATTTCGCGCCATGGCGAAGGCCTGCAGAGTGACGCAAGATTATAGAGAACTGACTGCAGATAATGGTATGGCAAGGACAGGAGAAGATGGTCGATAAGTACGAGTAAAGGATCCAAGTGTGTGTGCACGTGCGAAAATCCCGCCGCCACCATTCACCGTCCTCCAGGTCTCAGACAGTGACCACCGTGCATGCTCAAACGAGATGTCCCTCCTTTCCTCTCCTTGACCCCCAACCAACCTCCATACCAACCGAAATGGCCTCCAACAACGAAGCTGCCAAAAGGGACAGCAAGGGCAAGCGGGGCGGCACGACCACTGTGAGTGACCCTGGTTATGTCGAGGGGCTGGACTTACAGTCCAATCATCAGCGCAAGGGCCGGACGACTGCAAAAGCCGTAGGGGATGCGGACGATACAGCAGTGGTTGCGGATGGGGAGACCATAGCAGAGGGGGTTGGGAGTGCGCGTAAACGTCCGCAGAAGAGCGCGGGTCGTCCCAAGAAAGCGCGTGACACGACAAGCACCGTGAGCCCGCACAAAGGAGCTGGAAAAAAAAAGAAACCCCCACAGTCCGAACGCAATCATGGGGACACCATTGAAGGGTCAGCAGACAATCATGCAGAAGGTTCGTGAGCATGCATACCTTCGTTTTGCATGCGCATACCGTCATTTTGCGCGTGTGTACCTTTATTGTGAGCGCGCACACCTTTATTGTGCGCGTACCTTCGTTTTGTGCGTGTACCTTCATTTTGCACATGCATACCTTCGTTGTGTGCACGCGTACCTTCGTTGTGCATTCGTGTACCCTCGTTGTGCGTGCGCGTACCTTCGTTATGCGTGCGTGTACCTTCATTGTGCACGCGCATACCTTCATTGTGCACGCGCATACCTTCGTTTTGCGCGCGCATACCTTCGTTTTGCGCGCGCACCTTCGTTTTGCGTGCACGCACCCTCGTTTTGCACGTGCGTACGCATTTTGCGCGCGCATACCTTCGGTTTGCACATGTGCCCACACCCATTCCAAACAGAGACCCCTTCGGTCGAGCCGATGCCAAAGACCAAGAAGCGTAAAGCTGTCAGGGTGTCAGCAGCGAAACCGAAGACTCCACATGTCCAACCAGTGTCACGCACCACTCCAGATGATCTTCTCCCTTCAGCTGCACAGTCGGAGCAGTCGGAGCTTGCTTTGATGAGAGGTAAGTCTTAGCTCTGTCGTCACTGGCGTGCTCACCTGGTCTGAGTGTTGAAATATAATTGTCTATAGCTCAGCTCAAACAAGAAGCCGATGCGCGAAGGAAAGCGGAAGAGGAACTTGCGAAGCTTCAGAAAGCTGCTGACAGGGACAAAAGGACTTACAGTAAGTCTGAAATGATTCCGAAACCGTATGGGACGGCAGGAAAGCATTATTTGTTGAGGGAAGCCATGGGTTTGAAGGACGACAAGGTTCTATACAACGAAATTCTCATGAGTGGACTCTTACAGCAGCTTGAGTGACAACATACCTTGTTTATGCTGCTGTACTAGGACACTGTTCGTAAAGTCGTCATACAAGGCGGCTTGGACTTCAAAGTGGGGATTCGCCAGCAACACCCTGCGACGCTGGGGGCCGTGTACGAGCTGGTAGGTGGCAGTCTAAGTAGACGCGTGCCGTACAGAGTCTGAGTGACGTGACGTCTGGTCACCTAAACGGTCACTCTTGCAGGCTCGGGACGCTCAGCCTTACCTCTCTCGCTTCATCAACGACTGGGCTACGGCACAAATCATCATACAATATCTAGCCAACCGTCGCAAGGACCGCATCGAACATGGAAATTTTGTGGTGACGACCGACAGCAACGGCCGCCGCATTGTCAAAGATGCTACAAAGCGGATCGGCAGGATTCACGCCAAAGTCCCGAGTGTCATTGACTGTGTCGCGCAAGCTGCCAGTGCACGCAAGCTCGCACAACATTCTGACCTCGAAAATCTTTCTGACGACGATAGCGACAACAGTGACCAAGACGATGGCGGCAGTACTAACACTCCTGACTTTGGCGACCCTGCAAGCATCTCGGACTTGGACGGTGAGGATGAGGAGGATGGGGGGGTACTTGGGGACACCAGTGGTTCCGAGGAAGGGGAAATGGCGAGTGGGGCATCAAAAGATGGCGAGGGAGGTGCTATGGCAGCTGTCGAAGGTGGAGTGGTACGTGTAGTCGATCCGGACGATCTTCCCCTCCCCCCCGCGAAGAAGCGCAAGCTTGCGCATGTCCCTGCTGCCACTTCTTAGTGCCTAGTAACAATACTGTCGATGCGAAGCTGCCCCGTACCCAATCCATCCATTTGGTATGCCCTACACACCCAAATTGTCGTGATATATCTCGTCTATACCGGTGCATTTGCCTGCTTGGCACGGCCGGAAGTCACGAGTAAAACTGGTGATATTGCGGTACGTCTGAATCAGCGGTTGTACTAGTACATATCCCTCTCCGGATTTCCCTGATTCCCTACCGTTGATTCCTGTCATCCTACGCCGGAATCTCCATGGTCACACCCCCCAGTATAACCCTGGAAATTCGCCAATTGGACGGGGAGATCACCAGTTATACTCGGGATTCTCATAGGTTTCCTACCCCCGAAATTCACCATTCCGCAAGCGTTCAGTGAGCTTGCGATGCTTCCGCGGGAGGATCGTCGGTCTCGGCGCTATTGCCAAAGAAATAACAAACAAAAACAATGCCAGGAGCGTGGATTGAACACGCGACCTCCAGAAATCCGATGCTAAACCACTTCAGTCTGTTGCTCTCCCAGCTGAGCTATCCCGGCGTTGGATCTCTCAGGTTGGGTGTTTATGTAATATTTTGGTTGTGCACTGTGAGTTGTGTAGGGATCACTGGATCTCCTCCGTGCACAGGGCCATAACCTGGTTAACAGCGGTCCCCAGATGCAACCTCTCCAAAAGACTGTTGCAGACGAAGGAATGTCTTCTATCCACGACGCGAAATCGGGGTAGAGCGAACAACGATAGCAATACAATAGCACATGATAAGATACAAAACATTGACCGAACGGCACCACCCTCTCCATCCACACATGCACACCGCAACCGCTGAGTGCCATCCGCCTATATACCCGCCTTTGCGGCAAGGCGCATACCTTCTTGAATCGCAACGGCCTCCTCGACCCACGGGAGACGAAAGAACTCGGTACGCTTGAGGTCTTCCTGGCGGACCGTCGCGCCTTCGCTCGGCCCGCTCGCGAGCACACTCTCGAGGTCACGCGACTGCGACGCGAGCCATGTCTGCACGAAACCGCGCGGGTCGTCCGCGAACGCACGCAGGAAGGTGCGCTTCATGTGTGCGTTGTTGAGAGATTGGATGTGCAGCGCAATCTGTGTGCAGGGTAGAGGTTAGCCGTACCAAAGGGAGCACGAGGGGGTGGGTGGAACTTAGGACGGACCTCCTCGTCGAGCTTGGTGAGGTCGCGCGCAGAGTCTTGTGCCATACTGACAACGACGTGTTGCATACGGCTCTTGAGATTTGAGTCGTCTACCTTCACCTCGATGTCCCATGCACTCGGCTTCTCGGGTGGTGGTACAGAGGGGTTGAGGGTGTAGTGCAACACGATAGGATCAGGAGGTAATAGGAAGCGGTTCACGAGTTCCGGCAGATGCTGGAAATACGCCGTGTCGGCGTTGAAAATCTGCCAAGACACACGGTTAGGCTTGCCTGTTTTACAATGAGTTTGCATCTGAAAGACTTACGGGACGGAGGCGGGCGTCAGCCCGGACGATGCGGCGGTCAACCTTGTCTTGTAGGTTCTGCGTCTTGATGTAGTTCCACAATGCTTGAATAATACCCGTCCGCGAGTCCTCTTTGATTCCCAGGATGTTTCCTGAACCAAGTTGAGTAAGTGAACCGTCCAGCGCGGGCGCGTGATGCTTTTGTCGGATACAAAAGCCGATTGGGAAGAGTTTACATACCAAGCTCAGGATGAACTTTGTACTGCTCTGGTTGTTGCTCTAAGTGCATTACAAGGCGGATTTTCGTGGGTGTGTCTCCTTTTCTACGGATGGTGAAACCGTCTAAATGCGGTTGATTTGGGGAACGCATCCACTAGACGTGACGTGAAAATAGCACAGATGCTCTCCAACGGCATAGACGTACCTCAACAATATTCCCGTCAGGGTACAGAGTGGTGTCGCGGTCCAATTCCACGATCATATGCTTGATTAGGGTGGTGAATTTCCGAGGAGGTACGCGGTCCTTTGCCCTCTGATTCGGTATCTTCACCCAAAGCTCGAATATGAGCATTACACCGCAGACGTGAGAACGCAAAAACCCACCTCGAGCAGTCGCCCGTCAATCCGTAGTTGCCACGCGGGAATGTTCTCTCCTGTCTCCAAGTTGGGTTTCGCAGCGTCCGCGTCGGCACCATCGCGCTGCCACGGTTGGCCAGACACGGTGTGGCTCAAGAATATCCGGAGAGTGCGCGACGCCTATCCTCGCGCGTCCAGTCACCAGCCGTGCGAAACCTGACCGCACTTACAGGAATGATACGCTGCAGCGCGTCGTGCACCTCGACGCGTTTGCGCGTCATAGTCCAGTCAAGCTTGCGTTCCATCTGCAGCAGATCACGGTACATGGCCGAGTCCTCTGCGAACTCTGGAGACTGGAGGAGAGCATTGGGGAGGTTCTTGTCTGTGATCTTGCGCTTCCTGGCGTCCGGGTCCTGGCTAAGAGTGTGGGAAGCGTAGGATGAAGACAGAGCGTACTTAGCGGCAGGCTTCTGGGCCTCCATGATGACGCAAGAAAAGGCTTGAGCGGCCGCGGTTACGGGACTTTATGGTGAGGCGAGACGCTGAACTGACGCTGGATGGGGGAAGGAGACAAGCGCGCCTTTCTCGGGTGCCGCGCCCCCGCCAACCACGGCCCCGCACGCTGGTGGCGTCTGACACGTGGTACTCGCTTCTGTTCGAGCCCCTCTTAGCCGCTTCTTTTCGACCATTATCCGTATTTTCGTTTATGGCAGGTACTATAAGCGTGGGCAGGCTCAGCGGATCCTCGACTGTCGCGTGTTACTTTGTCTCTTTGAATCCGACTACTTATAATGTGTCGACTTGGAACTCTAATGCGTCGTCGTCGGCTCGCTGAATGACGGGTTCGTAGTGACCAGTGGTCGACCCAGGCAAGTCTTGCCACATCGTTTTGATGAACGCTGCAGCTACGAAACGAACTCGAGAACCACGGCCCAAGCTCATCGCGCATATAAACATCAGTGCTTCCGACCAAATACGATGACCACGGACACATCCTGCGATAGAAGGCGTCCTCGAACAACTGGAGGAGGTATGCCATCTTGTGCCATGCGACGAACAGTCAGTGATCAAACTTGGACACTCGTCCTTCTAGTAGTACTTAATGGTAGTACACCCCATACTCCATCCGTCTCACTCCCGAAACTCGACCGAACCTACCAACTACTATACTTTTGAGCCTGATTGCTTTCCTTTCAGGCATGTCATGGACATAGTAGAACAGGTCTACCTTCCGCTCGATGCCGGAAGTTCCGTCACCAGGCCCCAATTTTATGTGGCGCCAGGGACGCCTCGAGGAACGCAAACATGGTCGTCTAGGCCAATCGCACCGTCCTGCCTTCCTTGTCACCTTCAATATCTCAGGGCGATATAAGCTTTGACATGAAGAAGGTTTAGTGACGGTGTAATCTCTCTGGAGTCTTTGGGATATGCGCATGCGTATATATATGCCATGGCCTCCGGTCCCTCCTTTCCCCCCATCGACACGTTCCCCTCATGTCAACATATGCTGTCCTTTTCTACGCTTTCCTTGCTGCAGTTGTCGGATATCATCGCGTCGTGCGTAGCCGGCGGCTGGGTCCACTACCGCCGGGACCCAGGGGATGGCCTATCATTGGGAACATCCTCGCCATGCCGACTACGTATCAGTGGATCACCTTCGCCGACTGGGGTGAACGTTGGGGTAAGCACGTCGCTCACGGCCCAAAACACCCCCGATACTGACACCCTGCCTCAGGTGACATTATGTCGGTGACCCTCCTCGGTCAACCGGTGGTTATCCTTAATTCCTCGAAACACGCCTCCGACATGCTCGACAAGAAGAGCTCGATATACTCAAGCCGTGCCCGGGTCCCGGTAGGCGGAGATATGCTGGGTTGGTCGCGGACCATGATCCTAGCACCTTATGGCGATCGCCTACGTGGAATGCGGAAGATGCTTATGCGGATTCTTGGGAGCCGCAAGAGCGTCGAACGTTTTCACACCCTTATTGAGAGCGAGGCCCGGAAATTCCTCCTTGCACTACAGAGCCAGGGACATTCGCCACCACTCGCTAGGGAGCTTCACAGGTACGTCGCCACAGCCGTGGGCGGTGATGCCGCTCGAAAAAATGTATTTAATCTGTACGGTAGGTTGGCTGCCGGAATCATTGTCAAGATCTCGTACGGATACTCGGTTCAAGGAGATGACGATCCGATAGTCAAGGCAGTCGATGATGCTATGGCGTACTTTGCGAAGGCAACGGCTCCAGGGGCCTTCCTTGCCGATTTATTCCCCACCTGTGAGGCACATCGCCACCAAAATCGCTGCGCGCCGTCTGACAAGGTTGACAGTATGCCACGTGCCCTCATGGTTTCCTGGAGCTCAGTGGAAACGCGAAGTCGTCCAGCAAAGCAAGGTATTCGACGGCATGGCGGACATACCGTTCGAGTGGGTCAAGGGACAAATGGTAAACGCGGGTCCGCCTCTAATCAGCCAGTAGTGCTACTAACACCATGTACGTCATGGGAATAGAAAGCCGGGACTGCGCTTCCCAGCTTTGCGTCTGCGCTACTTACAGGAAACAATGACCCTACAAAGGAAGAACTTATCAAGATGGCCTCGGCTTCTCTCTACGCCGGTATGCCTCACGCATATTATGAATCCCTCTACACGTGCTAAACGGGTTTTATGTAGGCGGGGCCGACACCGTGAGTTCCCTCACACCACTGTATTGGTGCTGCGCTGTAAGTCTACCGTAGAGGGGCTCTGTCCCCGGTATCCAGCAAGTACTCTGTACCGGGCTTGGATTGCTCGGCGTACTCGAGGGATGGTGGGGGTAGAGTTCTCTACCCCACCAGGCGCCCAAGGCCCGAACCTTGGGTCGCCGTACGCGTAGATAATACAATGATTAATCTAATCTACCGGGCGCTAATGCCCCGATAAGTCCTTAGAAGGACTTAGACTGGTTGTCGGAGGCTCAGCGGCCTCCTCGGGCACGCTCCGCGTGCGGTATAGCTAATGTAGACCCGCGCCGTCGTGCGCGGTTCTTACACTCTCCCCCTTTAGACCCGTGACGGGTCTGGGGGTAAGTAATATTCATGATGGAAAGGCTACAACTTGGAGTAGCGTTCACACAGTATAAATACATCGGTACCCGAACGCTGTGCTCGTCCGGGACCGTGGTACGGGGGGTACTGAGACCACCATTGGTCTGGGGTGGTAGCGCGGACCACGCACTGGTTGGAGAGGTAGAAGGGACGTCAAAGCGTCCCGCGCCCTGGATGTACGCCCGCGACGGGGGCGCGCCGTCCGGGCGGGTGGTCGTGGCAGTCACGAAATCGAGGACGCTGAGCGTCCTGATCTTATAAATCACCGTGTGTAGCGTGTGACTCGAAGGGGGGGGCCACGGTGGCACCGCGCGCTAATACGACAGATTAGGGACATTGAATGTCCCATTCGTTCGACGAGCACGCTGGGCGTGCGATGCCAGGCTCGCTTTAAGCGGTCTGGTCCATGTCGTCGTTTTGTG